GTGTTTGATATGATACTTGATTCTCATAAAGATGTCATCTATGTGTTGTTCATGCTTGATAGGAAATCAATTTATGAATATTGCATATTTGTAAGGGCAACTTGATGATTTGAATAATTAAAAAAAGAAAGGGAAATCTTCATTTGTACCACACAATTCTTATGGATTTACATATCTAACACCTAAACTTGATATTTATATTTATAACACTTTGATTCTATAAATCTATGCATAAAAGGTGCATTTGACCACACAATTCTTATGGATTTACATATCTAACACCTAAACTCGATATTTATATTTATAACACTTTGATGCTATAAATCTATGCATAAAAGGTGCATTTGGCTTTTAAAAAGTTAGCAAAAGTGGTATTTTGATGTGATTTTAAAGATTTGAGTATTATGAATGCAGATATTAAAGTTTAGATTTTAGATATGTGAAAACATAAGAATTGTGTTATGTATGTAAATGCCTAAAAAATAAAATATTATGATAAGATCTAGCATAAAGTTGAATTTAGATCTACGGCCTCAAAAATAAGATATTATATGATTTACTCGATCATTACTTATCCAGATATAATTATATTAATTGTATTTTCTTCATTCAGAAAATATCTCTAGAAGTTTGTTTTTTGAGAATTTATTTGCTTAATCCCATAAGCGGATAACTCATTCGATATTAGTCAACTGCAAGGAAATCCTTTTAAAAAATTACAAATTTTGTTCATTTTATTTCAATTAAAAAATGTTTTAATTCCTTATTTTAGTTCAATGCTTAATCATTTCTGTATTAATATCATCTTATTAAACTTATTATATTTCTCTTTTTGGAAATATAAAATAAAATCTCTTCCCACACATTACACAGAGAACTTGCTACTAGTAAAAGTTGTTAAAATTGTATTTGGTGATTTTATTTATTTATGTTTTGCTTCAGGCATCCTATGTTCTCCCCTCCAATTTTGAAGAGTATGTTATTGCTGTATTGAGGTTGAACAATCTGGCATGCTTGGATTTTGCTCTCCTGCGGAAAATGCTGGTAAACAATTCTCACCAACCCCATCCCCGCATATGCACAAACAGTTTTAGCTTTTTTTGGGCATTTACATTCATACCAGCCAATTCTTATGTATTTACATATCTAAGATCTAAATTTTAATTTTTACATCAATACCACCCAAATCTTTCATATCACATGAAAAGTTCTGCCATTTTACCTTTTAAAAAGTGATTTGCACCTTTTCATGCATAGGGAAGGCGACATGTATGTTAAAATTGAAGATTAACTGTTAGATATAAAAATACATAAGAATTGGGTGTTTTGTATGTAAATCTTCCTTTTTTTTTTTTCACAAGTGTTCCTAAATACACAATCACTTTTAGTTTGATATTCTACCTTCTCCCTTCGATTGAGATTTATTGCACTAAATGATGCCAAAAATCATAGATGCTGGTAAACAATTCTCACCAACCCCATCCCTTCATATGCACAAACAGTTTTAGTTTTTTTTGGGCATTTACATTCATACCAGCCAATTCTTATGTATTTACATATCAAGATCTAAAGTTTAATTTTTACATCAATACCACCCAAATCTTTCATATCACATAAAAAATTCCGCCATTTTACCTTTTAATAAGTGATTTGCACCTTTTCATGCATAGGGAAGGCGACATGCATGTTAAAATTGAAGATTAACTGTTAGATATAAAAATACATAAGAATTAGGTGTTTTGTATGTAAATCTTCCTTTTTTTCCGCAAGCGTTCCCAAATACACACAAACACTTTTAGTTTGATATTCAACCTTCTCCCTTCGATTGAGATTTATTGCACTAAATGATTCCAAAAATCATAGATGCTTATATTTCTAGGATTTTTATTTCTAAATACGCTTTTATCTTCAACAGGCAAGATCAGATTTGAGAATGGAATTCTTCCACTTGATGAGTTTCCTACTATGTCATTGCTCAAGCAGATGGAAATCAGCTAATGATAAGGTATTTAGGATATTCAGGCCATTCTGTTCATCTTCCTTTATCATGTTATCCATAATTATCTTCTGAATCTCTCCAATTTCTGGTAGAAATTTTAAGATTTGAATTCATAAACCGCTGATCATGAATTGCTGCTGTTAAAATATGTAACTGCCATTGCATGAATATGGCATAATATTTGATACTCCATTGTAACATTATTGCATACATTTGTATCAACAGTGTGAAATGTGACCATATCATGAAATCATCATATTATATAACGTTTTGGCCTTTAATCTACCCAATAACTACATGCACATTTATGTGATATGTGGTATGAGTCTTTCTTTACTGTATTCAAATTATTATAGAAAAACCGCTAAAATAATCCTCTTGACTATTTGTAGAGAACCATTTTAGTCTCAGACTTTGAGAGTGCAATATGGCAACCGCTTTTTAGTCTAGATATCAGTTTCCATTAGTTAACTATGAAACTATTTCAACACCTATTAAATAACCTATACTGCATTCCAACGTGAAAATATAACTTCTCCCTTTTTTAATACCTTTAACATTAATTTTCGTTAGTTTTAACTGGGAAACTTTTTGAACTCATATTAAAAAAAAATTGGGAGACCATTTTGACACTTTCTCAAAGTCTGGGACTAAAATAGCCCTCTCCAAATAATTAGGGGACCATTTTGATACTTTTTCCATTATTATATCATGCTTCAAATTTTAACCGTATCATGAAATGTTCATAAGGATGACTAATGCCACTTGTTTTTTTCTGAAATTAAGAATGTAGATATATGCTGAATTATCTCAGGTTGGTTTTCTTCTGCTGGAATCATTGCCCCTGCTGGGCTACTTCTCCTTGTTCCATTTTGGAAACCACGCCGTTTTTCGCTTGGGAAAACCTCCAACGATTCTTCATGAGGGAAGACCTTCCCAAGAAAATTTAGCAACTATTGAGGGCAAACCCATTTTAAGCTTAGTTTTCCAAATCAGATCTGTGATCTCCCCTTCGTCTTCTTCAGCGATCCTGAGTTAACTCCTATCTTGGCTGGCACCTTTGTGGCTGCTTGCTATGGATGTGAGCAAAACAAGGGTGTGGTCCAACAAGAACTCAGCGTTGAAATGCTTCTCAATTTGCTGAGATCCTGCAGTCACAGCTTGCTCTCCTCCCACTTTGATTCCTCCCCATCAGATTCTAACACGTGAAATTCTTCATCTGATTTCATTTCATCAGCTCCAGAAGCTAAGAGAATCCTTGGTGATAGTTCCTCGCGGTCAAATTGTAAAGGGGGGCAAACTTTGTCTTCGAGGGGAGTGACAGCTGGTACTGGAGTGATGAAATGTCGGGTTCAAAGTGATAATAAAAGAGCAAAAACTTGTGATGAGTGGGCTTTCATGCATAATCTACCTACCTTAGATGCATCTTTTAGAAATTTTAAAAGTAATGTTTTGGTGTAAGAAATGTAAATACATGGGAATTGGATAGTTTGCACGTTAATGCCCCATATATATATGGAGTTCTACTCAAGCTTTGAGAGCCTGCAAGTAATACAAAGCTACAATGGAGTTCTACTCGAGCTTTTGTCTTGCTACTGTGAAGCAGGCAGTGGCAAAACTGTTAGTATCAAAGTAGTAAGAGAATAAAAATCACGAGCTTTTGTCTCAGGATTTTCAATTTAACTCATTATGTAATTGGCTTCGACTAGTTTTTATAAATATGAGTAATTTCCACTCCAAAAGCCCAGGTTTTACCAAAGGTCCACATTGAGTTAACTTTTTCTGGGTTGAAAAAAACAAAAAGTATTAGATTGATAAAATTATTGAATGGTTAAAGATTTATTTTAATTTTAAAAAGTACTACCAAAATATATTTTTAATATTTAATTTTTTGAGTTCAATTTTTATAGTATATATTTTTATTTCTTTTGCAAAATAAATGAAATTTATCAACATTGCATCAGAATGTGAGCATTTTCTTGCCTCATTTATTTTTGTGCAATTTATTATATATGCATATATGTGTATGTGTGTATGTATGTATTGTTAACTCATTTAGTTTAGTGATTGAGAAATTTTTTTCTCTAACTTTAAAATATTGAGTTCAAGGCTTATGCGCATAAAGGTGGGAGTGTAAGTTAGAATATATCTATCTATCTATCTATCTATATATATATATATATATAATGACAGTATTACCACAACACAGCTTTTATCATTGAGTGTAGATGATATTTTGATACATATATAGTAGTGTTACTATATATGTAACACTACCACCTTTATATATAGTAACACTACTATATATGTATCAATTTATGTATATATATAGATATAGATATATGTATATTTATGTAGTGTTACTACTTTTGTATCAATACATCATCTACACTCAATGATACCCTATATTTTTGCAAAGCTGTGTTGTGATAATACTGTCATGCAATGAGTTCTTCAGACCCTGAGCGTAAAGAAGAAGCCGTGGAGAAATATGGTAAAGATTTGACAGCCATGGCACGCGAAGGGAAGCTTGATCCAGTTATTGGAAGGGATGATGAGATAAGGAGATGCATACACATATTGTCCAGAAGGACTAAGAACAATCCTGTATTAACTGGCGAACCTGGCGTAGGGAAACCTACCATATCTGTAGGGTAAGAATAAGATTTTGATTTCTCGTGTTTTTGGATTTTGATTTATGCATCGAGAAATGAAGGTTCTATAATTTGGCGTATAATCTTTTTCTCCTTACCATGCAACAGACTTGCCCAGAGAATAGTTGAAGGAGATGTACCCCAAGCTTTGATGAACCGCAGGGTGGGTACTTGTGTATTTTAATGTTTTTTTTTTTACTATTTTTTCTTCACTAATAATTTAAGCTTATATAAAAAACAGAACTTGACTTGCATATCATCAATTATATGCTTATCGTAGGAGTAATAATCATAGAAATTTGGTTTGCGTATTAATTGCGGTCAATGGTGCTCTTTGATCACTGTATGTAGTATAGCAGGAAGTAACCTAGAAAATATATTAAATTGCTGTCATAGGATTGGAAATATGATTTTAATGGCTAGTATTTGTGATAGTATTGGCTGATTATTTTAGACATCCCCATAAGCATATATAGTTTGCATCCACTTGAATGGAAGTATTTATGTTTCACACAGTGATAAATATAATTATGAAATTTGTAGATGTCAATTCAACATCCATTTTTTTAGTAGTTCTTGCATATAGGAAAACGTTCTAGGGTTGTTTAAGGTTCTTGAAGGATATTGTCGTTTGCAATGGTCTATTTCTTATGCAGAATAATGTGAGACTGCCTTGGGAAATTATTTCCTGAGAAGACACCCTTGTACTTTAAGCCAATAAGGTTAAAGACGGGTGCGGATTCGATCTAGTTTAGCAGTGTCCGTCTTGGAGTTAAAAAAAAATAATAATCCTTTGCCTTGTAGGCTCTTAGTTGGACGTTTTGGTTCCTTCGTTAAATTTATGGTGGAGGGGTAACATTATTTATATCCTTTATTTGAAATAAAAGAAAAAAAAATGTTTGTATGGGGAAGGATAATTATGCAATCTTCTTGCTCTTTTACGCATCTCTCCGCCCCTTATCCTGTACAACTCATCGCGAATCAACCTCCCATCCAAAGGAAATGCGGTTGAAGCTCTCAGATTTCCACTCCACTAAGTTTAGACTGGCCTCTCTTTACACCCATAATAACTGTACCGAACCACTCCAAATAAGTCCATGCACACCATAACCATCCCAAGATCACCCTTTCTATTTAGTTCACTAGCTTTACTTAACTCACCTTCATATTGCACTGTTTACAATCCCACAAGACTGGAGTGCGGTTGCACCTTTTCAAGAGTCCAGCAATAATCAACCTTATGATAATTATCGCATATTACCAAAGCAAAATATTTTATAATAAAATGGACTGCAGTGAACAACCAGGAGAAACTGCACAAAAAGTAGAACATAAATGATGATATATATATATATATATTAGAAAAAGCCTAATGATAAATATATTAATACGGAAAAGAAACATAAATTTTGCATGAGAGGGCCTAAAAAGCCTAACTCATACAAAAAAACACACCTAAAACTCAAATAAAACAAAGATACTTAAAGCAAAAAAAATCAAAAAACTACAAAAGAACGCAAAAGTGTTAGAGACATCCCACTTTAGCTAAGATGAGTACCATTACCCGTAGTAACTAAAGTATCATCCATCAGATTCCTGAGCTCAAGTAAATTTTCATTTTTCTTCTTCCTCCTGGATGTGTAGAACTGTCATTCCTCATTCGATGATTGAATCATTTGATCAGTAGATTCCAAAGGTGGTCGGACAGTTGTAGGTCGTTGCACATTATGATCCCCATGAGTCTGAGTAATACTAACATCTTTTTGGACCTGATGAGACAGTCGTGAAACAATAAAAGTATTTCTACCTGTATTATCGGTGATATGTTCTAATACAGGCGGGGTCTGAAGAATCTCTCTCTCCCACAATAGGAGGTTCCAAAGACGGGAGAGCTACAAGTGAGGACTGAATGGTTAACAAATTGCCTGCGGAGCAAGTGACGTCTTCCAGGATATCTTTCTGATGATCAATAGTGTCAAAAAATTGGAGTTGATCAGGAGGAGATGAAATCACAGCCTCTAGCGGGGCAGTTAGCTTTTTTGGTTTGAGGTGGGGGTGTAGATGATGACATTGAGAACTGGAGTGTCCGAGCATACGACAGTTCGAACAATACGGCGGAAAAGACTTGTCGGCAGTTTTTAACTTTGTGATTTGAAATAGTGATGATTTTGTGATTTTAAAAATAATTTAAATATAATATAGCTTTTTTTTGATTTTTTTTAAAAGTAATATTGGTCTCATATTTTAAATAGTTTAGATGATTGAATACAATACTACAAACATACAATACTACAAACAATACATTACTACAAACAATACATTTATCCCGAAGAAATAAATATATCACTTGTAATAGAGATTCAATCGCCTAGATTAAAGAATCTGTGACATTCGTTTTGGTCTGCGAAATATCTTTATAAAAATGCCAACAAATTCCCCCACCTAACATAAAAAATTATATAGGATTTATTTTATCTGGGTTTCATGTTTTTGGTCTGCGAAATATTTTTATAAAAATGCCAACAAATTCCTCCACCAACAAATTCCCCCACCTAACATAAAAAATTATATAGGGTTTATTTTATCTGGGTTTCATGTTTCCTATATAGTTAAACCTCTATAGTTAATTACATCTTAAATGACTAGGGTCACTTAAGAAAACTCTCGATTAAGATCATGTGATTTTACCAGAATGACTCAAAATAAGAACAATTATTTAAGGAATCCAAAGGGAAGAAAAATAGGGGATATCACAGATCCAAGAAGAATCCGGGTGACTTCTCAACTATCTTATTGTTTGGCTTTATGTTTTTAAAATGATACTCATTTGATATTTCAATCCTGCAAATTTATTTAAGATTTAGGACTTATATTTGCATAATATCAGACTGTGCAAATAACCTAAAAAAATGGGAGGATTTACACCGTACCGGACGGTAACCTCGGAATCCTAAAGCATTAGGACTTATAATTACACAACATGGTTGTGCAAAAAACCTAAAAGTGAAATGTGAGGGCTTTAGGCTGCGTCAGGCAAGCCACCTCTAAATCATAAGGGTTATTATTTAAACTAAGGAAAGTGTATAGTGTTGTGAAATTGTTTTGCTATTGCAGATTCATCTTGAAGTTGTTTCTCATCGTGTCGTCGTGCTGCCCACGATGTTCGCTCTAAGCTCTTCATAGTAGCACCTCCTGGTTTAGTTTTGATTTTGAAAATACACATAACCACTAGGTTTTCCTAAACTAAGGCATAGTGTGTATAAAAAACATGCAGTATAAGAGAAATGAACTGTATAATGTACAGTAGAAAGAAAAGACAATATAACATGCTGAAAGAAGAGTATAACGTGCTAAGAAAAGACAGTATAACATGCTGGGAAAATAGTATATCAGACTATGAAAACAATATAACATGCTGTGAGATAAAATGTTATAATGTAAATTAAACCTGTACACCTGGGAGGTTCAGTGCTCCTTTAAGTTAAACCTGTGCCATCCCTATCAAATCAACCTCAAAGTAAAAGAGGAGAACCTCAAAACGAGCCTAGCAAAAGGGCAACCCCAACCCAGCACAAAGGGGCAAACCAAATCTAAGAAATGATTCAAACAGTAAAGGATTCTAGCTAACATAAATCACCAAAAGGAGCCCAAACCCAACCAAGAAAAGGGGACAGTCGAGCCCAACACAAGGGGCAAACTGAATCCAGCCAGAGGGAGCAAAACAGAGAAGTATTCCAAGCATAAATCTAATTTCGAAAAGAGCTCAAACCAAGCCCACCACATGGGCTAAAAATTAACTTAAAAATTTCAACTAAATTCAGCCTAGAAGAATGCTAAAACCGAGCCCAACAAAAGGGGCAAAACCAAGCAGCATAGAGGCTAACCCAAGCTCAGTAAAGAGGCAAAACAAATGAAAGTATTTCCCGCCGACATTTAATCCAAAAGAAACTAAATTCGACCTCACTAAATGAGCTAAAGTAGGGCCATAAGATCAGATTTAATAAAATCCACAATCGAGCCCAAAAAAAAAGGCAAAACCGAGTCCAATACATGGGGCAAAATAAGAAGCATGATTCCAATTCAATCCAAAAGAAAAATCCAAGACTGAGACCACCAAATGGGCCGAAGGAGAACATATTTTCCAACATTTATTGTAAGCATGAATATGAACAATAAAAGTTTTGATAATTTCATCCCAACAAGAATTCAAACAAGGGGGGCAGCAAGAGGAACATAAAATGAGCCCCAAACATATTTTTTTTAACTCATGAAATGATTTCCAACATGTATTCCGACAAGGGACAACAAAAGAAGCAAGAGTGAGCATCTCATAAAACAATTTCCAACATGCATTCTAGCAAGGGGCAACAATAGAAGCAAGAATGAGCCCCCAAACATATTTTTTTCATAGACATTTATGAAGGAATAAAAATGTATTTCTAGACTACTCTAGCCATGACTTCAAATGTTTCAAGCAAAAGAAAATTAGAGGTGATCCATATATACATGCTTCATTTCTCACCACCCTAAGCCAATATTCATGCTTAAACTTCAAAATAAGCTTCCATACTTCATGCCATCCGAAATAATACAAAATAGAGGAGAAAAGAAGAATACCTCTTTTTTATGCAAACTTAGAGCAAGGAAAGAATAAGACAAATTTGAGAAAACCACTCCAATAATAGCCTACAAAAACTCCTCGCGATTTCCAGCTCGCGGTTTGACAAATCCAAGCTTTGAGACCCTCGAACAACAGAGGGGAAAAATATCTCCTCTCGAACAAGAACACAGAAGGAGGTAACTTTCTTAACAGCGAAGAATGGAAGCTGAAAACACGAAGTCCTTCTAAAATTCTCAAAAGAAGCCCTCTTTTTTTTAGTCAAAAAGAAAAGACAGAAGCACCACCACTCCCAAAATCTCCTCTGTGAGCTAATAGCCAAAGAAACGAAAAAAAAAAGAAAAGCCACAAGTTCGCCGCCCTAGCCAACCAATCGAAAAAGGGGGAAGGAAACGACACCATAACGAGGAGAGCGTACAACCTCAAGGAGGAGAAGCGTCAACCAACACATCTCTTTACGATTGGAGAGTGGAACGGCTCTCGTGCAAGGGGAATAGCGTCTCCGCGTGGATCCGCCGTGGAAGCTAGGGCACGGGTGAGGAGTGGGA